ATCAGCAGCATCATCAGCATCCGCATTGTCATCAGCATCAGCATAATCATCATGATCGTCAGGATCATCATCATCATCATCAGCGGCAGCAGCATCAGCATCAGCATCAGCATCATCATTATCAGCAGCATCACAATCCTCATCAACAGCATCAGCATGAACACCCGCATCAGCATCATCAGCAGCATCATCAGCAGCATGATCGTCATCGCCCTAATGAGCATCAGCATCATCATCATCAGCTTCATCATGATCAGCATCATCATCAGCATCAGCATCACCATCATCATCATCAGCAGCATCATCAGCATCGCCATCAGTACGTTGCTCATCATCGGCGTCATCATCATCAGCATCGTCAACATCAGCAACATCATAATCAGCAGCAACAGCAACATGACCATCGTCATCATCATCAGCATCATCAACATCAACAGCACCAGCATCATCATTAGCATCGTCAGCATCATCAGCATCAGCATCAGCATCATCAGCATCATCATCAACATCAACATAATCGTCATCATCATCGTCACCATCATCGTCAGCATCATCATCATCATCAGCATCAACAACGCCAGCATCTACATCAGCATCAGCATCATCATCAGTATCATCATCATCAGCATCGTCATCATCATCAGCATCATGATCAGCATCGTCATCATCATCAGTATCAGCATCCTCAGCATCAGTATCAGCTTCATGATCAGCATCATCAGCAGCAACAGCACCATCATCAGAAGCATCAGCATCAACATCAGCACCATCATCAGCATCATCACCATCAGCATCAGCATCATCACCACCAGTATCATCACTATCACCAGCGTCAGCACCGGCATCAGCATCAGCACCCTCATCATCATCATCATAATCATCATCAGCATCATCAGCATCATCAGCATCATTAGCAGTATCATCATCCTGCCCCTAATCCTCTTGTTTTTCCATTCGCCGTCCACCTCCTCCTCCGTTTCCTCATCATTCCTCATCCTACTCCTACTCCTCGTCCTGAACCTCCTCCTCATCATCCTCATCCTCATCCTCGTCGTCCTCATCCTGCTCCGCGTCCTCAGTCCTCTCCTCCTCCAGTTCCTTATCCTCCTTCTCCTGCTCCTCCTCTCAACCCTCCTTGTCCTCCTCCTCCGTCTCCTCTTCCTCCTCGCCATCCTCTCCTTCCCCCCTCGCGTCACCGACACCACCACCACCACCACCATCATCATCATCATCATCATCATCATCATCATCATCATCATCATCAGCATCATCACCAGCATCATCAGCAGCATCAGCATCAGCATTATCAGCATCGTCATCATCATCATCATCAGCATCATCATCAGTAAGGTCCTCATCATCGACATCATCACCATGAAACAGCACAATCATCAACATCAGCATCACTATTATCATGAAACAGGATCGTCATCATCAACATCAGCATCATCATCAGCAGAAACAGCAGCATCATCATCATTATCAGAATCATTATCCTCAGCATCATCAGCATCATCATCCGCATCATCATCAACAACCTCAGCGTCAGCATCATCAACATCATCAGCAGCATCATCAGCATCACCATCATCATCATCACCAGCATCATCGTCAGCAGCATCATCATCAACATCATCATCAGCATCATCAGCATAAGCAGCGACATCATCAGCATCAGCATCAGCAGCATTATCATCAGCATCAGCATCATCAGCAGCATCATCAGCAGCAACAGCAGCTTCAATATCATCATCAACATCAGCATCAACATCATCAGCATCAGCATCAGCCCCATCAGCAGCAGCATCATCATGCTCGTCATCAGCATCTTCATCATCATCATCATCCTCATCATCATCATCACCATCATCAGCATCATCAGCATCATCATCAGTATCATCATCATCATCACAAACAGCATCAGCATCATCATCATCGGCATCATCGTCATCAGCGTCCCCTCCTCTTCATCCTCCTCCTCCTCCGTCTACGCCTCATTCTCCTCCTCCTCCTCCGCATCATGATCCTCACCACCATCACTCACACGACCACCATAATTACCGTCAATGACCTCAACAGTACCACCGACAGCGTCAATATCACCGCCGCTACTATCATCATCATCATCAACATCAGCAGCATCACCATCATCAACATCATCATCAGCACCATCAGCATCATCATCATCATCATCATCATCATCATCAGCATCATCATCATCGGCATCACCATCATCAGCAGCAGCATCACTATCATCCTCCTTGTCAGCATCAGCATCCTCAGCAGCATCAACACCAACACCATCACCAGCATCGTCATCGTCGTCCTCATCCGCATCGTCATCAACACCATCAGCAACACCATCACAAGCATCATCATAATCATCAGCAGGATCATCCGCATCGTCATCAGCATCAGCATGATCGTCAACATCCTCATCATAATCCGCGTCCTCATCATCATCATCAGCAGCAGCATCGTCATCATCACCATCATCATCGCCATCATCATCAGCAGCATCATCAGCATCATCATGAGCATCATCATCATCATCCGCAGCACCATCGTCATTATTGTAATCGTTATCGTTAGCAGCACCAGCAACATAATCATTCTCATCACCAGCATCACCATCAGCCTCCACAGCACCAGCAGCACCGTCATATTCATCATCATCACCATCACCATCACCACCATCAACATCATAATCAGCATCATGAGCATCATCATCATCATCATCATCATCATCCTCATCCTCATCATCATCATCATCATCATCATCATCATCATCATCATAAGCAGCATCATATCATCATCACCATCATCAGTTGCAGTATCAGCAGCAGCATCATCAGCAACAACAGCATCGTCATCGGCATCGTCATCATCAGCAGCAGCAGCAGCAGAAACATCATCCTTCTGATCATCCTCCCAAGCATCATCATCAGCATCATCGTCGTCGTCATCATCGTCATCAGTATCATCATTATGATCATCACCATCATCATCACCATCACCATCACCAACACCATCCCCATCACAAATATTTATCAGAATCAGCAGCAGCATCAGCAGCAGGTTCACCACCAGCATCGCCATCATAATCACAAGCACCAACAGCATCAACATAATCACCACCATCAGCCGCAACACCAGCATTCGCATCATCATAATCATCACCATCACCATCACCATTAACATCCGTGGAACCAACATTATTGTTGTCATCATCGTCGACGCCATCATCACCATCGCTATCGCCATCACCATCACCAACACATCGTAAACAAAATCATCACCATCGCTATCACCATCACCATCACCAACACCACCACAACCGCCACCATCCGTATCCTCAACATCGACATCAGCATCCGCATCATTATCGCCGTCAGCAGCAGCAGCAGCATGGAGCGGCGGGATCGTTGTCTGACGAGACACGCCTGGCACCCCCCTGAATTTCGGCGAGACCGCGACAAAGAGGGCGTGCACCTCCACCGCGGCCCAACAGCCCAGCAGCCCCTCACTTGTCCTCCTCCTCCTCCTCCTCTTCCTCCTGCTCCTCCTCCCCCTCCTCCTACTCCTCCGCCCCCTCGGATATCCGACTTTATGAGAAAATGCAACATCGCGAACAATCACGACCAGAGCCATAGGCACAACGTTTCGAGCAAAATTGATATGTGAAGTTCTGGGGGCCAGAAACCGCCCCAGAACGCCCAGTGTGAAAAAAGATGCATCGCATAAATCTCAAGGTCCTCCTCCCCCCCTTCGCTCGGCGGATCCTGGATCACCTGCTGGCTCACGTCGCCCGCCTCGCGGGTGCCTTGCTGGGGAGCGCCAAGCGGGCACAGGTACGCCAACAGCCTGGGCACGACAGGGTGCGCTCGACGGAGCAGGAGAGGATCGAGGATCGAAGCAGAGGTCGACCCAAAACGAAGAGGAGAGGATCGAGGATCGAGCAGAGGATCGAAAATCAAAGCTGTGTTTGTCGTTGTCGCATTGTTTTCGTTCCGAATTTTGTTCAAAAGCCTCTGGGGACCCTGTGGGCCTCCAGGGGCGCTCGACGGGGGAGGGAGGATCGAGGATCGCCCCCCCTCCAAAAAATCCGGTGAAGTGTTTGCTTCGCTGCGGGGTCCCCAGAAAATCCGAACCTTTTTTCACCTGAGGCCGGCTTCGCATCCTGACTCGTCTGTGGACGGTCCCAGGGGCCCAGAGAGGGCCGCCGAAGGCCGAAAACTTGAACAACACGGAACAAACAAACAAAAAACGGTGTGATTGGCGCCATTGTTGACAGAACGCCTCGGTCCTCTCGACCCCCGAGACTTCTCCACGCGCCTCGTTTCTGCTTGCGCGGCCTGCGGCGTCCTCGTCGCCACGGCTGGGTCCGCCTCTAAATGCTGGTTAAAGCGCGCCCGAGAGCAGGTTCCAGACCCCCTCGGCCCTCTTCGGGCCCCTGGGGGCCTCCAGGGATCCTCAAAGCCTCCAATGGAAACTCCTGGAGCCCACTACAGACTTCCAGGGGCACAAACGTCCTGCTGACTGAAAACAGGAAGACGTGTCCTGCGGTCCAAAACGTCATCACCACCACCACAATCATCATCGCCATCATCAGCGTCATCATCATCACCATCCCCCTCATCAGCAGCATCAGAACCGTCACCATCATCATCACCATCACCAGCGTCACCATCATCACCACCATCATCACCAGCACCATCACCGTCACAGTCGCCATCACCATTGCCAGCATCATCAGCATCACCATCAGCACAAGCAGCATCAGCATCGTCCTCACCAACACTATCATCAATACAATCAGAATTCGCATGCTCATCATCATCACCGCCATCATTATAATATGAATCGTTAATTTAAGCATAATCGCCAGCATCATCGTCATAACAATACATTCACCATCTGAACCACTCATCAGCACCATCACCAGCATAATGATCATGGTCGTCATCATCAGCAGCACCATCATATTCGTCAGCATCATCACCATCACCAGCATCAGCATCATCATGGGGATGGGATCGGGACTCTGGGGGCGTCAACAAAGAGCATCTGCAAAGAGAAAACAGGACAGGGCCTAAACCCCTTGAGTTTCAGCTCTATATCAAGAGCCCCGAGGGACTACAACAAGAAAACTACGCCACGAACGCTGGGGGCGGGGGCCCACAGTCGCTTCGCAGCGAGACGCCGGCGAGGGGCCCGAGAGCCCCGACGCACCACCTATCTGAGAGGGCGCTAAAATTGAGGCAGGGCTGCATTCGACCGCGAAAGGGGGGGGGGGGGGGGGGGGGCGCAAAGGAGGGGCAGGCGAAGGAAGGAAAGAAACCACGAATCCTGACAGGCCCGATCTTCGAATTGCTAACTCCGGCGATGGACACGTCACTCTCTCCCACTCTCCGATGCACCCGCCTAGTTGCCCAAGCCGACGCGAAGCCTGAAGGGCCCCCCCCCCCCTTGAAGGGCAATGCCACGCACGATAACGGGCCCCGCATCACCACCGCCACGGCTCCAATACTCTGCAAGGAAGAACTCAGAACTTGAGCAGCTCTGCGCGCCGCACCTCAGCTCACTGAGCCTGAAACTCTTGCCCACTGCATCGGCGCAGCGCCAAAAAATAGCCATCCTCCTGGGGGGGCAATGTCAATGGCTCGGCACGTCGGCGAACAGGCAATGCAACTTTGGACTGCGCGCCACACGCAAAGCCGCCCCGAGCGAAATAACACCATTCTCAACAAGAGTAAGCAATCGTTCACTGTGCGCGCACATCATCAACTTCTGATGCGCACTGAACCTCACTCGTGGTCTTTCTCGCACTGGCCCGGGAACTTCTGCGCCGCTCGCCCCAGCGGGCACCTCGGAGCGGGGCCCATCTTCGCGATGCCTCCGCCCCGCTTGAAAACTCCGACGACCACGTTCTCGGTCGCCTCGCGATCGCGGCCCAAGGCGAACACGGACACCGTCAGTCATGATTGGCATTCCATCTTCTTGGCTGGCTTCGCGCGACAGCGGGGCGCCGCCGCCGGCAGCTGCCGCGCGCCCTCGCCCTCCACGCCCTGGCCCCAGGACGTCCCCATCGGCGTCTGCACCGCTTGACCGAGCTCGACCTGCGCCGCCCCTCGCAGCGTCGCCACGCCGACGAGCAACACGGCGCGCCGCGGGATCCCCGCCGCATCTCTGAGTTCTGCGGCGCTGAAGAAAGCGAGACGAGCCAACATCGACGCCTGCTTGGCCGCGCTCTTCTCCTCGCTGCTCCCGGCGACGTCGTTCGCCCACCGCCTTCGCCGTGGAGGCGCGAGCCCCCCCGCATCTTCGCGACGCAAAGCCCGGGGCGGCGCCATCAGCCCGAGGCGGCGCCTGCTTCGGTTCGCAGGGGGTCGAAGCCAAGGGCAAGCGCCTGCATGCGCCGCTGCGACCCAGGAGAGGAGTCTGCTTCGAACGAGCATCAATGGCATCGACGTCGGCCAAGGCACAGAGGGCCCCCGAGGAAACGCGAACGATTCACGCACGCTCCGCCACGAGGGACACGTTTTACAACGCGCTGCTGAGCGGCTACAATCGATCCACAAACTCCTCCACAGGAGGAACAGACGATATTCACCACAAGAGAATCCCACAGATCGCGCAATCCCCGATGCGCCAATCGGCGATGACCGACAGCTGTGAAGAATCGAAACGTGTTTTGGCAAGTGACCCCTCCTCCATCTCTCAAACCCACAAACCGACCCATCTGGCTCATGATGTCTGCGGGGCGCGCAAGGCGGAGCCGAGCGAGGCGCCGATGCCGGGGCCCAGCCTGGAGGAGGAATAGACGACGCATGGGCCCCTTGTCGGAGCCTCGCGAAGCACAGGCGGGCGAAATCAGCCCCAGGCGCAGGGGCGCGAAACATCTGGGGACACCCCCGTCGAGCTACGCCCCCTATTTCTCCGCCTTCATCCCCCATCTCCATTAGACTATCCAAAAGATATGCGTTTACCCACTTGGCCAACGGGTTCGCTCACCCAGTGATATCATCATCAAGCACCGTGTCACGCGCGTCGAAGACGCGCGCGTCAAAAGACGCCGTGAAAACCTGATCACGATGATGCGGCGATCGCGCAATGGCTCGGCATCGCTTCACGCGGCGCACTCGAGCTTCCGACTTGCACGGGGCCGCGCGCCAGCACTCTAGCATATCCGAGGTCGTTCGCGACTTGAGTGCGCGGTGAGTTTTCTGCCGTTCACCCCCCCCTCTCTCTGCGCGCGCCGCGCCACCCAATGCGACGCGCGCGTGGCGCGCAACTGACTGCCCCATGGCCTGCTAACTGCTCTCGCGCCAAACAAGGCGCGCATTGCCATGCAACGCTGCATTCTGGACGCAACAGATCACAAGCCCCCCCCCCCCCCCCGACCGGAAAATTATGATACCGGAGAAAAGACCGCATCAGGGCTATAGGGCTATAGAGCTATAGGGCTATAGGGCTGTAGGGCTATAGGGCGGTTGGGCTATTGGGCTATTGCGCTATAGGGCTATAACGATTAGGGCTATAAGGCTTTAGCCCCAAGGCACCCCCGGGCACCCCCGGGCACACTCAAGCACCAGGGCACCCGGGCATCCCTAGGCACCCCCTGGGGCACCCGGGCCCCGGGCACCCCCGGGCACCTGGGCACCCCGGCGCGCGGCGAAAATCGGCGACAAACCTAACCGAACCATATGAATCCGCTAGGACCCCCACAGAGGCAAGCTCTGATTGGGGAAACAAACTTTCCATGAGAGCACGTCGAGAAGACCAGAAGCGCCCCAAGGAGAGAAAGGCAACGGCCACGGCACGGCGACGTCTCTGATGCTCTGGCGCGAAGCTGCGATTTAGATAAAACCCTCAGCTCCTACATGTCTGGCGCGCGGTTTGCGCCGAGCTGGCAAGACGACACTGCCTCGCCTCAAAGACTGGGCGCCGCGACGTGGGCCTGATCCAGAGAGGGCGGATTGATCTCCTGGTTGGCGCGGTTCTGGCGGCAGCCAATCGATTCCAGGGCAAGGTCGAGCTCCTCGTTAGTCTTATGGCCCCATGCGCGTTAGCTCTCCCCGCCCCTCCTCTCCACCCAAGATGGTCTTGGACAGGTCGCCAGCGCACTCGCGCAGTGAATGGCCCACCGCACGTTTCGTGAATGGGCTCTCGATCCTCAGCCCCTCGCCCCCGATCCCTTTCTCCGTGAAGGCTCGGGGCCGCGCGTGGTAAAAAAAAGACGCACCACGCATGGATCACCCACTAACGCTCCACAGGTAGGCTGAAATAGCATGGGCGGGCCCTGCGTGCTCGGCAGAGAGATGACAGCGTCGAGGTAGCGTTGCTGCCCATACTCTGCAAGACCATATCGCATAAACTCCGCGCTAGCTCCAACGGGCTCTGCCCACTCAATACTGCCAAATGCGTTGCTGAAGTCGTGGAAGTCCCTCTCAAGAACCCATGGACTGTCTGCGGCATCAGTGGCAGCAAAAAGTTGGCCGCGCACCATGCCTTGCCCAAGGGAGCGAGTAAGCGTACTGTTCTGAATCCAAAGCCGCGTCTCCGATGCCCGTGGCTCCTTCCGTTTTCTTTGGCCCGGATATGCACTGATTCGTATGCCAATAAGTTGGCGGGCCACCTGAAGTACGCAACCCCGTACTCCCACCCCCAACAACTTTCTTGAAGAAAAGGGGAGACTCGCGCATCTGAAGTCCGAGGCCGAGTCCTCGGCCTGCTGGTGCCAGATCCTCAAGGAGTTGGGACACGCTGCCCATCAGAGCGCAAAAAGCTCGAAGGGTGCCGACCAGGGAGGCTCTGCTCGTCGCTTCGCTGCTCTGCCAAGTTGTCGTCGTACTCGGCCGAAATCTCCTCGGGCAGCCGTTTCTATGTGTATCGTTCAAAACCACTCGTGTCGATAACTCTGTTTTCTGATATCGCCACGCATGCCAGCCGTCCAGCAGCCTTGTGCCCATACAGCCTTGATGCCCTGGAAGACTCAATTGCTGCATCCTCTGTTCGCTGCTCAACCCTGCTGTGCGGATGGCGAAATGATACCGCCGTTTCGCACAATATGTTGTTCCTGCCGCCCGCCGTGACAGTCGATGTACCTCTGCATGTTGCCGCTTGTGCCACACCTCCCAGAGATAATGAATTGTGCGCTAGTGGGACCGCTCCCACTGGCGATATCGGTAGATCTGCATCCGCAGAGAGCTCCTTCAATGCGGTCACTAGAGCATCCTTGCGTTACTCAATCATGTCCGTGTCGAACTGCGATATCGTACTCACCCTATGTTTCAGCACAAACTCTCTCCGCTCCTTCCGTTCCTGATACTTTGGATCATTATATACGGACCCGCGTGCAAAATATGCCTCGCCGATCGTGATCATCAACTGTTCCAAAACTTCAAACAATGGGTCGGGAGTAGCTCAATGTATGAGGTCAAGTAACGTCGCCGACATGATCTGATAGATATTGTTCCACGTCGGTGGTGAAATGCTCGCTTTCCTCATTGCCAAATAAGGGCTGCCATCAACTTGTCCTGATCCCAGCAAACTCCCCTCGTGGCGTGAAATTTTCGGGCTCCTAGCAATCGAAAGTCAGCATGTAGCCGCACGTGGTCTCGCCGTTGCTTGCTAAGTATGTGTTGGAGGCGTCGGCCCAGTCGGAGTAAGGGGCCCGCTTGTTCGTGACATCCCAGAAAATGTTTGCGATACGGCCATACATTCAACTACTACTGGGACACCCGCACTGCCTTAGCACGTGCCTGGTGATCTGCAGTCGCAGCATCGTCAGTATCATCATTAACGTACTGACCATCATCACCATCATCACAAGCAGCAAGCGGCAACAGCAACCTCGCCATCAACATCATCAGTAACATCATCAGCATCATCATCATCACCACCACCACCATCATCATCATCGTCGTTGGATTCGCAATCGTAATCATCATCATGAGCATCACCATCATCATAAGCATCATCATCATCCGCATCCTCATTGCCATCGTCATCATCACCATCGTCATCATCATCATCATCATCATCATCATCATCATCGTCATCATCGTCAGCATCGTCATCATCGTCATCATCGTCAGCAGCATCATCATGATCATCATCAGCAGCATCATCACCATTATCATCTCATCAGCATCATCATCACCACCATGATCATCGTCAGCAACAGCAGCATCGTCATCATCATCATCAGCAGCATCAGCAGCATCATCAGCATCATCGTCATTGTCGTCATCCTCAACGCCATCACCATAACCATCATCCTCGCCATCGTCATCATCAGCATCACCATCAACATCAACGTCAACATCATAAGTAACCACACCGTCCACATCAGGCATATCGTCATTAGCAGCCCTCTGCATCCTCAGCATATGCATCATCATCATTGCCATTATCATCATCAGCATCATCATAATCATCCTTAGAATCACCATCCATATCGTCATCATCACCATCATCATCATTGTCATCGTCATCGTCATCGTCATCATCATCACCATCATCATCATGGACATCATCACTACAATTAGCATCGTCATACATATGATCAATATCATCACAGTCCTCGGCGTCACCATCATCATCATCACCATCATAATCAGCAGCAGCATCAGCAACAGCATCAGCAACAACATCATCCTCATCGTCATCGTCAGGATCATCATCGTCAGGATCAGCATCATCATCCTCGTCGTCGTCGTAGTCCCTCCGCCTCCTCCTCATCATCATCCCTTCTCATGTTCATCCTCCACCTCATATTCCTCCTCCTCCTCCTCCTCCTCCACCTCTCTCTGCCCCCCCACGCGCGGTCCCGCGCGCGGTCCCGCTCGCCGCGACGACGACGTTGACGACGACGACGACGACGACGACGACGACGACAGGACACGCCGCCTGTGGTCCGACAGCAGGGCGACGACCCAGAGCGCCCCGACGGTGCCCCTGGCGTGCAGCTGCACCACGCTCGGGCCTCCCAGCGGCGCTCCGCCCTGCGCCTCCCTCCGAGGAGGCAGAGGGAAAGCCTGGCCAGACCGACGAGGGCCGTGACATCCTGGCGTCGCATTTTGCTTACAAGAAGCATTTTCGCCCTGTTTCGGGCCCTGGGATCATCGCGAATCAATCCGGCTCGAAAAATGCTGCAGAAAGATGGGGTCGAGTGCTCCAGTAGGGATCTTCGCGATTTGCACTTTTTCACAACGTCGGATCTCAGGTAAAGAGGAGAAGGAGAAGGAGGAGGAAGTCGCTACCTCTCGCGGGGAGGCTCCCCCGCCCAGCCTCTTCCGAAGGGGCGGGGGAGCCTGAGCGGGGGCGGATGACCATGCGCAGCGCCCGCCGGCCTCGCGAAATGGCCAACGGCGTGGAGCCCGCGACTGCAGGACCCACGCGCGGCGATGAGGCCTACGCTGGCGCCTTCGACTACAACGGCTACGAGACTACCGGCACGCTACCAAGACGCTACCACCACGAGGAGGCCGCTGCTCGCAGGATTACCTGCTCCATCAGGAACAAGACACCCAGCCACACCATAGACCCCATCCTCCTCTTGAACCCGCAGCGCCACAGCTGGAACGACCAGAACGGCCAGCAGAAACTCCACTGGAACAAGCAGCGCTCCAACTGTAACCAGCAGAGCACGACCTGGGACACGCGAACTCCAGCTGGAACCAGCAGCGACCCGACTGGAACCAGCAGAGCTGCGAGAACCAGAGGAACTCCTGCGACCGCCAGCAGCGCTACAAGGTGCAGAGGCCCCCGGCTGCCCTCGCAGCTCAGCTCAGTCCACGGTGGACACTTCGAGAGAGGGGAACCCAGGGCGCCCCCCAGGGCGCCGGCCCCGAGAGGCCGCTGGACTGAAGACGGGGAAGGACCCAGCACAAGCCAAAACAACTCGGCCCGCGGACCATCTGAAGGCACGACGGCCCACGGGCCAGAGAGCAACGCCTGCCAGGAGAGGGCGCCACCACCCACGGGCCAGCGCGCTGCCTCCCCTACAGCTACCCAAACTCGAGAAGCTCTACTACGAGGCTCTCCCAGAGGCCGCGAGGCTGAGGCGCGCTGAAAAGGCGTCCCAGGAGGCCGCCGAGGCCCAGAAGAACGACTACCGCGACCACAAGCGCGAGACCGAGGCCCAGTACAACTACGGCCACATCACCGAGGCCGCATACTGCCTCAAGACATGCAGCCTGGACCTCGACTTGGAGGCCGTCCAGGCCAGGCGGAACTACGACTGCGCGGTCTTCACCCTCGCCTACATCGGCTGCACGCAAGATTGACCTTAAGCATGAGTGACCTTTGGTGCGCAGCCTCTGGGGGCCCCCGGTGGGCCAAATCCATGCGCGCAAGCCGCCACCATCGCCTCGCACTCGGCGAACTTCGTCGACTGAGGGGCCCCACTGGGCCCGCACCGAGAGGTCACTCTGGCGAAGGGTCACTCCTACGTGCAGCCGACTACAACCGGCAGCGGGCCACCATCCCGCCCACCGAAGGCAAGATCCAACGAGTTCAGCAAGCGCGCCCTCTCGCGGGAGGACCGCCCTGGGGCAGACTGCCGGCGCACGCGCGCGCGCGCCTCTCCCAGGGGCCCCACGCCTGGGCGGGGTCAGGGGCCGCCCTCGCTTCCTCCCTCTGTCCGCCCCTTTCCCGTCTCTTCAAGCGTGGGATCGATCACAGGATCGCTTCACCCAAAAATGGAATTCCCCGTCGAAGATGCAAGAAACTACCGATAAATGCCCCGTAGATGTACGGACCTTCTGCGCATGTCTTGCATATTCGGCGTGAAAATCAAGTCTGGAGTAAATCAACTCCGTAGTCGATCCCCTATGTGGTCTCTCGTTCTTCCCATTTCCGTCGCCGACCCCCCCCCCTCCTCGCACCCGAACCCGCCGCCGTGGGCGTTGGCTTCGGCGTGGCCGCTCGTCGCCATCAGCAGCTTCGTCGCCGTTGTCGTTTCGGGGGCGGCCCCCTGCCCATCCATTGGCTTTGGGCCCCCCCCCCCTGGAGCCCCCCACCCCCTGCCTGCAAGTTCCCCGCACGACGCCCCGTGTGGGGCGCTGCAGGGACCTTACGGGCTTCGGGGGTCCCCGTTTGCATCTATGGGCTTCGGGGGTGCCCGCTTGCCTCTCCCCCCTCCTCTCCTCGTCGTGCTGTGCTGTTCCTTCTGGCTTCGCCTCCCCCCTCCTTTCTCTCCTCCTCCTGTTGCTCCTCTTCGCGTCGTCCGCTCGTCGTTCTCCCTCCGAGGGCCTCCCCCCCTTGTTGCATGCGGCGCAAACTCTAGCTTTAGCCACCCCCCTCCCGGGGCCGACCCGCCCTGTGGAGGGGATTGGCCCTGGAGATCTTCGGACCATCAGTTCGGCGGTCAGGCAGGAGGAGGAAGAGGAGGGAGACGGGAGTGATCGGCTGCTGCTGCTGCTGCTGAGGGGTGAGGAGCAGATGTTTCACAACGTCGGATCTCAGGGAAGAAGGACAAGGCGATCTGGGCTTGACTGCGGTTTCTCCCACCGAGGGGGGAGTTTTCAACCAACCTTGGGGAACTCCCTGCTCCGTGGTCTGGCTTGGGCACCCTGTCCCCCGAGCCTCCCTCCCAGTCTTCGACAGGAACAACGAAAAAGAGAAACAACCACCAGTGCGAGGCGCCAGGGAGGGTCCTCCTGGTCATATATGGTGCCCCCATCGCGCTCGAGACATCCCCCCTCCCCAGCTCGGGGAGGCATCGCGGACCCCCTGGTGGTGGTGGTGATGGTGGTGGTGGTGGTGGTGGTGGTGGTGGTGGTGGTGGTGGTGGTGGTAGTGGTGGTGGTGGTGGTGTGGTCGTGTGTGGTGGTGGGGGAGGGGGTGGTGTTGGTGATGGGGGGGGTCTGGGAGGGGGGTGGTGGTGGTGTGGTGGTGGTGGCGGTGGTGGTGGCGGCGGTGGTGGTGGTGGTGGTGTGGTGGTGGTGGGTGGTGGTGTGTTGGTGGTGGTGGGTGGTGCGGTGGTGTGGCGGTGGTGTGGTGGTGCGGGTGGTGTAGTTGTGGTGGTGAGTGGTGGTGGTTGGTGGGTGTGGTGTGGTGGTGTTGGTGGGATAGTAGTGGTGGTGGTGGTGGTGGTGGGTGGTGGTGGTGGTGGTGGTGGGGGTGGTGGTGGTGTTGTGGTGGTGGTGATGATGGTGGTGGGGTGGTGGTGGTGGTGCTGGTGGTGCTGGTGGTGCTGGTGGTGGTGGTGGTGGATGTGGTGGTGGTGGTGGTGGTGGTGGTGGTGGTGGTGGTGGTGGTGGTGGTGGTGGTGGTGGTGGTGGTGGTGGTGGTGGTGGTGGTGGTAGTGGTGGTGGTGGCAGTTTTGGTGGTGCTGGTGGCGGTGTGGTGGAGGTGGTGTCGCCTGTCCTCCCTCCGACCCAAGAGGAGGGGGACGTCCTCCCCCTCGGCCGGTCGGTCGAAGCGTAAGGAAGCCGAGGCGAAGACGCGGGACCAGGGCGACAACGTGGGGGGAGCAGGAACACGGACGGTGACGGCAAACAGAGTAACGGTGGCAGCGGCGGCACAGGAGAGAAGCAGCGGCAGCAGCAAAGAGCAGAGCACAGCCCGCTGCAGCCGATGCCTCAAGGCAAGCTGCGCCTCACTCATCTCAGACACCCGGCGTTCGCCACGCACCAAGATAAAATCGTAATACCCATTAAGTGTCAATGGGCGCTTGCAAACGAAAAGGAGCAATGAGAACAATGCTACGGTGAAAAGGAAACCCATACCCCGACAGCATGTTGATGTGACGGAGCAGCCAGTTGATATCCTGTCGCAGGAACAAACGATTGCACCGCACGGCCCAACACATCCTCGCAAGCCTCACTGGACGCAGCCATCGCCCTCCTCATCGTCCTCCTCCGCCTCATCCCCTCGTCCTCCCCCCTCCCCCCGTTTTCCTTCTCACCCGCCAACACGTCCTGGGCGCTTCCTGGCCAAAACCTCTGGGATAATCAGCCGTAGCTAGCGACCAAAGCGCAAAAGGAGGACCCCAGAAGGCCCAAATTTACCAACAAGTTTCGACCCCCGACCCTTCGATCCTCGACCCGCGACCCACGAACCTCGATCGACGAGAACGGAGACGACGACGACGACGACCACCACGACGAGGACGAGGACGAGGACGAGGACGAGGAGGAGGACGTCGCCAACGACGACGACGACGACGACGACGACGACGACGACGACGGCGGCGGCGGCGGCGGCGGCGGCGGCGATGCCAACGAAGATGGAATAAGCGCCTGGCGGGCTACCTTCCGCCGCTGCCCCCGCAGGTACGGCTCCCGCTTTGGGGCCTTTTGCCGCCACGGCGGGCTGCCTGGGGGGGAAGGGGCAACGCTGACCGCTGTTTCCTGCAACTCCTCCTCCTCCTCCTCCTCCTCCTCCTCCTCCTCGTCCTCCTCCTCCTCTTCCTCCTCCTCCTCCTCTTCCTCCTTCACTTCCTCCTCGTCCTCCTCCGCATCATCCTTCTCCTCTGCCACCGCCACCGCCACCACCGCCGCCTCCGCCTCCGCTCAGCCTTCGCTTCCGCCTTCGCTCCCGCTACTTACTCCTCCTCCTCCTCCTCCTCCTCCTCCTCCTCCTCCTCCTCCTCCTCCTCATCCTCCTCCGCCTCCTCCGCTTCGTTTCTCCGCCCTCCTCCTCCTCTTCCCCCTCCTCCTCCTCCTCCTCCTCCTCCTCCTCCTCCTCCTCCTCCTCCTCCTCCGCCTCCGCCTCCGCCTCCTCTCCGCCTCCTCCTCCTCCTCCTCCGCATTATCCGCATCCTCCTCCTCCGCCTCATCCGCCGCCGCCGCCTCCTCCTGCCCCTCGCCCTCCTCTTCCTCCGCCTCATCATCGAACTCCTCCTCGAACTCCTCCTCCTCCTCCTCCTCCTCCTCCTCCTCCTCCTCCTCCTCCTCCTCATCCTCCTCCTCTCTCCTCTCCTCCTCCTCCCCTCCTCCTCCTCCTCCTCCTCCTCCTCTTGCCTCCTCCGCTTCGTTT